GTCCTTTGAAGCTCTTCCACACAACTCCGCTGCTGCAAGAATGCTTGTATACCCTCAATGGTACCCACATCTACCGCCCACTTCTCTGTAGGATGGGTAAGCGCCCCTACATTCCAGAAGATATCTTCTACAGGTAGTCTTTTTGCATCATCAAGCAAAGGACAAGCCATATTGGTGCGAGGAGCTATTGAGTTGTAAGCGGTCACTTGAGATTCGTAGGAAGTCCATTTCCTCTTAAACATCATTTGTTTCTTGCTCATAAGTTTCTTCATCCCCTGTTGCGCTTTGGTCCCTGGAAGGAAAGATTGAAGAAGCAGTAAAAAATAATGGACTTCGTAAGAATGAGTGAAATAGAGAGTGAAATAGACCTACCTTCCACCTCCTTATCCCACTTTTTCTGCGCCTCCACAATTCCTACTTTGGCTTCATAAAGCTTCATTTTAGCTAGCCGCACACCTATCAGAGCTAAAGCTTTTGGACCTGGCACAGCGAGAGAGACATTCAGTAGATTGCAATTATTTCCTCAATGATCCAAATGGACTCACTAGTAGCTTGGCGTAGCCGCCTAAACTCTTCACTTCCCAACTCTTCTGTAACATCGAGAATTGCGGTCTCAAGCGCCACAATTGATGCTGGTAATGTCAGAGTGGCAGCAATATCTTCATCTGTCCGGTTCCTTCTACGCTTCCTTCGAAGCCTGTTGAGCTCCTCACTTTAATGGAGTAAACTTTCAATCAAACAATTGAATGCCTGAATAATATATTGAACATCACGTACTGAGCATGCTTCACTTCCTCTTGCAACTCAAGGAGTTCTAGAAGGCATTGTTCCATCCGCTCCTGAGTCTCAGCAGCATCGTCTGCCATTGCAGTAAGCTGACACCGCTTCTGTCGCTCCCACTGCGAGGAGAAGTATTCCAAAGTATAAGATTCATCTTGAGCCTGCAATCTTTGAAGAGTCTTAGAAGCCACCTCCAACCGGTCTTCCGCTATCTTGACTTTGGACTCTATTGACCTCGCTGAACCAAATATAAACGTGTCAATTGAACTGCTTCTATATTAGCATGGGAATCAGATCAACATACCTGCATTTCTGCATCGAACTTCATTTCCGTGAGTAGACTTCAAGTCTATAGCATCAACTCGGTGTTGTTTTGTGGCACATCGATTTGCTGCTATCAGTGGATCATTATCACTCCAAATCCTCTCATTTCCTTCCCCGTCGGTCAAACCCCATCCCTTGTTCAGCCGGGGATTATATTTCAGTTGACACGTCCATTCATGCGCATATGCATGCCATGCACTGGTTGCAAACCTAAGATCACCTCCTTGTTCCTCTCCAAAATATTTATTCTGTATATTCAACATTTCTTCGTTAGATTCAAAGAGGAGATAAGAAATTTGATAATCAAACACTTCACTTTACCTTTCTTACACTTTTCTCTAACGTACAACCAATGTCATATAAGACACCCACAGTTTTTGAAGGTTTTCCCGGCTCTGATACATCTTGCATGAACTGATCAAGCAGTGCTAGTACATAATACTGGCTATGGAATCAATAAAGCAATCTACATTCAGGAAATATTTGCGCAAGAATCTGGGGAAACTGGATCTGGAAAACTGACCGCTCTCCACTCTGAATTACATTCACAAACTTGAGGACATGATCATGTCGACAAGCAAGTCCAATCAAGCCTGTTTCGTCACATCCCTTCCAAGTAGAGCTTCCTCGACGATCTGCAGCTGCAGTGTGAGTGGCTGTACAGCGATCCTACAAAACAAACCAAGGAAGGTGGTGATGAGATCATGATATTTCTTGAATTGTTCCAATGCGTAATCCCACATGTGGAAAACAGGATCCCACATGTGGAAAACAGAATCCCACATGTGGGTTCTATTTCGTGGTCTTATATCTACCATCGATGTGGGAATAGATATCCCACATGTGTATCAACACCAGTGTAGGAATAGAACCCAAACGTGGGAATACAGATCCCACATGTGGGAATATGCATTCCCACATGTGTGATGCGGATTCCCACATGTGAGATCACGCATTCCCACATGTGGGAATCCGCATCACACATGTGGGAATTGGCATTACAAATGCAAAAAGCAGAAAAAAAAATAAGAGAGGTAAGTACCGCAGGATCAATATCTCTTCCTTGGTTTCCAGCACGCACCGCCCACTCCTCCACCTTTCTATTATCCAGGAAAAGTGGAGGAGTCTCCAACCCTATTTCCTCATACTCACGACTTGCAGCCATATGCCGGCGATGTTGAAAGTTGCCATCAGTGCAGACATGATAGTCACACTCGTCCACATCTTCATTTGCTTGAAGTGGTCCAAAACACCTTGGACAGTTCATAGCCAGCTGTTCCAAAGCTGTGAGAAATAATGCACAAATTGTGAGTTCTTTCTCCTTGCGGAGAATCCATCTATAGGCGTCGATTGCTGATGAAAATGTCTTCCGCCACAGTCGTGGCTTTCACGAGAGAGAGATCTTAGTATACCTGAAACCAAATGTTGGACAACATATCATTTACATACTTGCTTTGTCTTTTCCACCAATATCAGCGGGCTTTCTGCATCTAGGAATTCGTCCAAACCCAGTGTAAAACCTTGTGTTTGAACAGTGCAATACTTCCATAGAGCATGATGCAACCTTAAAAGCCTGATGGAGTAAGCTGCTTGTGGATGAACAGGCGCACCCCCAATGTATCCCAGCCTGATAAGACGAACTTGATCCTTGGTACAACTACAGAATTGAATCAATTCTTGCTTTCGTACTGCCATCATAACAATCAATTTATTCATTCAACATAAGAAGTCGATTGATTTAGCAAAACACACCCAGGATATCCACCATATCAACCTTACGAGCACGTAGATCACCAACACCGCAGCAACATTCCTCGTTGAAATCTTGATCCCATTTTGAAGTATCACCCCATTGTGAGGTTACCTGTGATAATGTCATATACGAAATGAACATTTCAGGTAAGGACTTGTTCCAATTTGCATGTTCTTTCAATCTCTTGCTTTTATAATAAGACCCTTTGACGTATTGGGTGAATGGAATGTTGACATTTGGTACAACGGCAGCATCCGCATGAGTTTCGTAATCGTGGTTATCATTGTCATCATCCTCATCCGTATGAATCTGGGGTAATTCATCACTTCCACGGTTGTTGCCGTGGGAAAGGTCAGCTATAGCATCGTCTCGACCTTGTCCAGTAGGATTATTCGAACCAGCACCAGCTTGTTGGAGAGCCACTTCGAGTTCTTCAAGCCGGTTCTTCACGTACTGAGCTTGGCTGGTTTCAACTCGAGCAACAACGATTGCTGAGCCTCGAGGAGATTCCACACGCCTCTTCTTCTTCTTCTGACCAAGCGGACAATAAATCGACTTTCCTTTGCCCATTTTCAAAAGTTGCGACGAGTGGATGCGGAGTCAAAGTTGATAGTCGCTGAGCAAGGCAAATGAGTAAGTTAAATTTCATAGCAGCTCGCACAGACATCTCCGGTTCTCAACCGGATAGATATCTTGGCCCCATATATCAAACAAGGGTTCAATAAAGTGCTTTGAACCCCTTGCTTGGACTAGTGTGAGAAGTTTTTCCCAATGAAAAATAAGGTGTACTCGGATATTCATGGTGTACTGTACATATAGAATTACCCAATTCCTGTACGCTGTATCTGTACAAGGAATGGTTCTCCATTTTTTCACAATTTTGAAATACTCTCCTTAACAACCGCCTTCGTCCGCCCACTTCTTCCCAACCATCAATATGCCAAAAACTCGACGTCCCCTTCGAAAACCTGTTTCACCGATCCAAGCAAGCCCAAATCGTTCAATGGGCAAAAGTCACTTGCATCAAACTTCGCGCAAGCGTTTGCGCCGTATCTCAAATACGGAGGATGATGACCACTACAAACCATCCAAAGACAGTGACTCATCAGACACCGATGTGGACCTCAAGCCCCGTGGATCTTCAACCAGACGCAATCGGCGTCAAACACACGTTCAATCTGTCGATGATGATGAACTTTTAGACCGACTTTCCAGACAAATCTCACCTGAAGCGACGAATACACGTGACCCTGTCAACAATACCACCGAAGTCACCCAGCACGACTCTTCAATAGAAGACATAGATAACCTACCGAGTGTTACAAACTATAAGGAAGTTATTGATGAATGGCCTCTTCCACGGATTGCTGTGGTTGAACGACAACAAAAGCAAAAGCAAAATGTGGTACCACCTGATATATTGAAGGAAGCTAAAGCGATTCAATCACTTTACAAACAACAAAAGTCATTGCTAGCAATCATGGGCAATGTTAGTATGTTTACTATTGATAAGGCTTTGTACGTATTCTCTTCTACGATTTCTCCTTGGTTAGATGTTGATGAAGTTTTTGTTTGCATTTTTTATTAAAAAGAGGAGAGCTTGGAGGTCGCCGCAGACCTAGCGGTTACCAAATCTTCCTGAAGTATAGCAATGAGATCCGACCTGAGCGCAGTAAGTCTCTATTACTACACATCTTCCTTATGATCAAAAGATATTAATCCATGTATTCAAATGTAGTGCCAAAAAAGGGCGGTGAGAAAGGTATCTTAGCCAACCGAAATCGTATACTAGGAGGAAAATGGACGGCAATGCCACTACGTCACCAAGAAGTATTTTCCCCCCCGGTATTTTATGTGCTCTCCGGCCTCACTTATACTAAAGCAGTTATTAAAGTTAATGATGACCTAGAAGAATCTGATGATGAAGCCGAAGTTGAAGAGGCTATTCATGCTTTTGAATTTGAGCCAGGGGAACGTGCTGAGTTTGAGGCTTTGTATGATGAGCTGGTTTGGAAGGCGAAAGTAGCTAAAGAGTATAGCAAATCGGTATCCGGTAAATCTCAAGGTCCTACTCTTCCGGATTTTAACCGGCAGTCGCTCAAATGTATTGAGCGGCTTCACAAACAGGTTTGTGAAGCCCTCATATATTTCATCCTTACCTAGTGATATTCACAGATATTCACATCTATCAACACGTCAACAGATTGAAGACGAATCGAAAAATATGGGATTCAGTTACTATCTCTTAGCATGTAGCACTTATGCTTCAACCGAAGTAGATACCTCTTCACGCGGGTGGTGCAAAGAGTACACTTCGCATGAAGATATGGCCACATATGTTAATAAAAAATGTAACTTTGCGACATTGTTTGGAGCAACTGCACAAGGACTTTCTGTCGCTGAGACAGTTGCGGAAACCATTGGAGGAAAAGTCAAGCATAAACAATGCGGGAGAAAAGCTGATGCTGGTGATGTAGTGAAGTCAAAGCTTGCGGCGACCTTAAGAAGCAAACTATGTAAGTTCAAGTTTTATTCATCCTCTCTTCATTGCTTTATGAACTTTTCTTTCTCAGCTTCTTTACTAGGACGTGATCAAGGCTTTCCCCATGGCCCAGACCCCGAAGCCATTTTCAAAGCTAGAGGTTACGACATCAAGTTAGTACAAATGCCAGGTTCGACACTTCCTCATGAAACTCTCAAGCTTGGATTTGCTCGAATGGATAGGAGTCGATCACAATGGCTGGATGATATTAATGCAGATCTTTTTAAGTTAGAGAAGATCGCATCTGATGTGGATGTTGATGGAAATAATGAAAATGAGCATGAGTTTGATGAAGATTTTATCAACACGCAGATTGTAAATGAGATAGATGAGGAGGAAGAATGGAACGGAGTAGGACTTTGATGATTTCGAGAATTAGAATTACATAATTTTAGTTAGAATGTTTTGAATAAGAGGAAAACTAGAGTCACATATTTGGGGTACCACAGGTCACACATGTGTGATCTGTGGTCACACATGTGTGATCTCGTATCACACATGTGTGACATGAGATTCCCCATGAGTGACATATGATCCCACATGTGTGATCCTGTGGTCCCACATGTGTGATCCTGTGGTCCCACAGGTCACACATATTATCACGCATGTGCATGTAGCTCATAAGATCCCTCCAGTGAGACATCAGATTACACACGTGTAATCTGAGATCACACTTGTGAGAAATGAGATCACTCAAGTGAGGATAAGATATCCCACATGTGTGATGCAATTTCACACATGTGTGATCTCTTATCTGTAAGATCCTGAAAAGGATCTTCACTAAGGTTGGCTCTGACGGGAACAAGGTTCCAAAGTTAATCTAAAAACCCAACTATCTATTCCAAAATCCGACAACTAGCTCCATCCAAAGGTTATTCGGTCAAGAAACACATCAGACACACTCTACAAGAAACAAAGAAAAGAAACAAAGAGTAATGAAATGAAATGATAAGTGAAAATGATGAAAGCTCACCTAGCTCCATCCGAAGGTTATTCGGTGAAGAAAGGATCTTCATGGAGCTAGGGCGTTTGTGAGTACAAGTAATCCGGTACCTCTCTAAGTCCATATGTCTAACCCATAAGTCTACATGTAACACCTTACATCCCTCCCCTCCTAAGAAAAAGAATTTTGAAAAATTAAAATAAAAAATTCAACCAAAAAGAAAAAAAAAATTGGCATAACTCGCCCCCAAAAAAATTGACCATGACTCGTCCCTAGTGCAATTAGAAAGAGAAACTAAAAAATGGAAAATGTTTCGCAACCTGAAAATTAAAAATTGAAAAGAAAAAGAAAAATTGAAAAGCACACAGAAAAAAAAAACAAAAATATCTTTGAAGTAACTGATTGATGAAGATCTTGAAGTCTTGATGTAATTGAACACTGAAAATCTTGAAGTCTTGATGTAATTAAATAATGAAAATCTTGAAGTCTTGAAGTTAATCTTGTAATTTGATCTTCGTTTACATGCTTCGTATCTATCGTGGAGAGGAAACAAGCCAGACGCCCAGTTCGGTGCTCACATGCGTGGCCAAGGTAATGTTTTATACACAATTTGGTTTGGCGTAGTTGCCCGGCGGTGCATACTTATGGGAGGAACTTACTTTGACACCATTGTATCGCACTCCTCCTCCCTCCATCGGTACCTTTTCAGCTTTGATATGTGGAAGACGTCGTGGGATTTGTCGTTGTCGTCAAGTTTCAGTCGAAAGTTGCGGCCGCCATTCAGAACTTCCTTGACTTCATATGGTCCATCATAGCGGGGCCGTAGTTTTGATGTTGGTCTTCCATCCCCGCCTACCACCTGCTGTCGATCTTTGCTGTCTATGAGTACCCAATCTCCCACATTCAAAACTTCGCCGCTTCCATGCCGGCTGTTGTAGTGAACTGCTTGACTGATTCGACTGGTCCACAGCTTGTCGCGGTACTGTGCCCAAGCTGCTTGGCGATCTTCAATCCATTTCGAGACGTCTGATCCGGTTGACTGCAAGTTTCCCAAGACTGGAAATAGTCAAGGTTTTCTACCAAAGACAAATTCAAAAGGTGAGACTCCTGTAGCCACATTCAGAGCGCTGTTGATTGCAAACTCGACCGCTGGTAACGAAGTGAACCACCGTCCGTGCTTACTGTTGACCATTTGTCGTAAAATTTGTATGATTGTCTTGTTTGACTTCTCACTCCGGCCGTCTGCTTGTGGATGATAAGCTGTGGTGAGGTTGACTTTAATCTGCATTAATCGGTTGAGCTCCTGCCAAAAGCGCGATGTCCACGCTTTGTCTCGGTCGCCTATCATGCTTCTTGGGGCGCCGAAGATTGCTAACCAGGCCGCAAATAGACGTTGAGCTGTTTGTTCGGCTGTGTCGGTTTGACGTGTCGGTATAGCTCGTACAAATCCGGTAAGTCGGCAGGTGCACGACAGGATCATGTCGTAACCTCTGACCTTTGGAAAGGGTCCGATGAAGTCAAGGCAGATGTCGTCCATTGGCAGTCGTGGTATGTCTGTGGCTTGCAGTCTTCCTGATGGTAGCGTCGTGCGGGCTTTTGATCTCTGGCAGCTGTCACAAGTTGATAGTAAAGATTTGACGTCGTTCGCCATGTCAGGCCCAAAAAACTGAGCACGTAATTGCGCGAGTGTTTTGAGTGTTCCTAGATGTCCCAGTGCTAGGTGCGTTTGTTGGATGAGTTGTTTACGCAAACCTCTCACTTCCGGGATGACTAATCTGTTGTCAATGAACATGAGGTCTCCGCGCCATTCGGTGCCTTCTCGCAGCGGTAAGGTTTTGATCACTCGCTGGCAGAAAGAGTCTGTTTTGTATCCAGTCTTAATGATGTCAAGCGTTGTCTCGTCCAATGTCGAATCCATCTGTAGTGCGGCTACCTCATCTCTTCGTGATAACGCGTCTGCTACAGAATTCTCTTCACCCTTGATGTAATTGAAGTTAATGTCAAACTGAGAAAGTGTTTCTAACCATCTAGCTTGTCGTCTACTAATGTTCCGTTGAGACAAAAGATGCGTGAGGGAGTGGTGATCTGACATGACGTTTATTTTCATTCCTAGTAGTAGCAGCTTCCACTTTTGTAGAGCATTAATAACAGCCAACAATTCTTGTTCATGGACCGGGTAATTACGTTCAGCTGGTGTCATTGTCCTGCTTTTGTATGCTATGGGCGATGAAGTGTCCCATTTCTTTCCTTGAAATAATGCTGCTCCCAGACCGTGACCGCTGGCGTCTGTAAACAACCAGATTGGCTCGTCAGATTCATAGTCCATCTTCTTCAGCACTGGAAGTGTAGTGATTATTCTCTTGATGTTCTCAAATGCTTCGTCTTCCTTTTTCCCCCATTGGAATGGGTCATTTTTTCTTTTTTACTTGTCAGAGGCGAAAGAGTACCAACATAATGTGATAACCCGTCAATGAATTTTTTCAAAAACTGCACCGTGCCTAGAAATTTGAGCAGTTGCTTTTGCAATGATGGCGTCTTCCACTTTGCTAGCTTTTTGACTTTAGCATCGTCGGGGCAAACCCCTTCACTACTGATTTCATGTCCTAAGAAGTTGATCTTTGTCCGAAAAAGCTTGCTTTTTGCAGGTGAACAGTAAAGGTTTGCAGCTTTCAGCCGTCGTAAGACCTCCCTAACGTGTAACTCATGCTCTTCTACTGAATTTGAAAAAACTACTATGTCGTCAATGTACACAACACAATATGTGCCAATGATATTGCCCAAGGCTTCTTCTACACGACTTTGGTGTGTTGCTGGTCCATTTGTAAGACCCATGGCCATGACTGTCCATTCAAATAACCCAAACGGGGTCTTGACTGCTGTCAGCGGTATGTCTTCTTCGCGCATTCGTGTTTGAAAAAATGAATTAATCTGATCTATTATTGAGTAAATCTTTCTGCTGCTCACAAGTCTGACCGCCTCATCCACGTTTGGTAGTGGACTTCTATCTTTGACTGTGTACTTGTTCAACGTTCTATAGTCACACACCCACCTTGGTAGTGCATTGGGATCCTTCTTTCGGATAATCATTGAAGGTGACGCGTATTGGCTTGTTGATTTTCGTATTCTTCCTGCTTTCAGATGTTGTTCAATCAATTTGTTCCACGCAGGTAAATACTTCTGCGGATAATTGTACTGCTTCTCATTAATTACCACGTTTGGGTCCGTCAGGACAATCTTGTGTCTGACTTTTGAAGACGGGTTTTGCCCTTCAGGCGGAATGAAGTCATCTTCATCATCATCGGCAACCGCTGGTAACTCGTCAGGAAATAAATCCGCAAATTCTCGCAATACCTGCTCTTCACGTTTGGATAGATCTCGCGTACTTTCAACTCTTTCGAGGTTCTGGATAACACAAGCCACCATTGATTTCGTCATTGCATCTTTGATTTCGCTCTTAACACTTTCCTCTAGTAGAACAGTATTTGTGGGTACATGCGTGACGGAACGGTTATGAAGAGAAATGTCTAGATGAAATTTTTGAAGGAAGGGGGTGCCTAAGATGATATCATATGAATTACCCAATGGTGCGATTTTGAAGAATGTTGACCCAAAACGTAACTTTGGATCGTCCGAACTGACGTTAGCGAAACAAAACTCGGTGATGATGTGAGGTTTACTCTCAGTAGAAATTGCGAGGCTCACCTCGATGGGTGCCACAAGTTTCCTACGAGGTATCCTTGCCCGTTTTGCTGTTGCCTCCGACATCAGGTTGGCTTCGGCTGCGGAATCAATGAGAGCCCGCAGAGGGACACCATTAACTACCAGACAGAGAATGATAGACTTAGTGCGAGAATGCTCTTCTACGCACCCTGTGGTTTCCTCTTCCATATGAGCAATTAAGATCCTATCCGCCTCTTCATAGCGTTGAATCTCTTTATCAAAGAGATCAGGTGTCGCAGACGGTGATTCGATTTGTTCAATTGCTCTGACTGGTAATGGCGCAGGTGGTCGTCCAGCAGGTTTTTGTGTAGGTGCTCCTGCTGGTCTTGCTGAGGTCGTAGCATTGATGTTGGCGTTGATAGTGCGACGTGCAGGGCGTGGTCCAGGGTCAAAGACGCTCAACGGCGGTAGGGTAATGTAAGGTCCCTTGATTGGGCCTTGGCATTGAGGATTGCCGCATTTAGTTCGGCACGCTGAGCAAATTCCCAGGTGTCGTAGGTACTGGTGATAATGCCATGCTGCATCTGCTCGTTCCTCTACCGTGCGTCGATCATTGGACCAGGTCGAAGTCCTTGGCTGATTGTAGGAGCGTGCGTTGCTGGTTTGATTGAACGCTGGAACTTGGTTCGCGGTGACCTTCGGAACCAAGTTGCTGGCAACTAGTAAAGCCCAGATTTCCGACGCTGACGCAATGAATTCA